GTGTGTGTGTGTGTGTGGAGGGTCATGAAAGGGACTTCAGTAGTGTGTGAGAGGGAGGTTGTGTCTTTGAACTGGCTCTGTGCATTACTCGGGATTTCATTGGGTTCAAAAGGTTAATTAGACGCATGGATGTTTGATTAAGATTTGACCGTAATCCGCTGGAAGGTCAGAGTGAAATAAGGCATAGTGCCGCAATGGGAACCAGTTAAGGATGCTTTTGGCCCGCTTTGTGCAACTGCTTTTAGTTACTACTCAGATATGTTATGACATCATTTCTCAGTAATTCCTATGAACATCTTTATTCAAATCTTCTTCTCACAAAGGAAAATGACTCACAGAACAACTGAAACCAACAGTGCGTGGACAGGAGGGGCCTTCATTTCATATTGAGAGACCATTTACACTAAGGTTCTCCACATAGTAGAACTTCTAAAATATGCTCCCTTTACGGTTCTGGAAATGTACTCACAATCAGAGGAATGTCTCTGCTCCATTTCCTATCTTAAGTAAATACAGCTATACGGCCCCTTTGATCACTCCTCCAAGTCCCCAAGTCATAAAAAATGACTTCGTGCTCAGCGTTGTAAAGTTTGCCGGCCTCAAACTTTTAACGACTTAATAGCCCAATCAGTTCCTGGTGTTGAGGTAGCTTATGCACATCAGAGACAAGCGACCACATCCATCCAAAGTGAGAGATGTGTTGGCAGACAGCTGCACCAGAGTTGCTCCTAATGAACGTCGCACTATCATTAAATCCTTTCCATGTGTTTCTTTACTCTGTTTTGCCAGCAGATTAGAATGCGTTCAGAGACATTTTCACAGCACTGAAGTCCTGGATCCAAGTTTCCCTCTTGATGGTTGCTTGATGATTTTAGGCACCTGAATGGTAAACCTTGTGCCTGATGTCTGAAAAATGTGAAACAAAAATCTGCCCTCTCATCTGCAGTGGTTTGAGCCACGAGTCTCATCGTAGAGATGTGGAGCAGGTCTACCTCCGCTGCTCTCAGGGGTCTCTGGAGTGGCTCTACCCCACAGGAGCTATCATTGTCAACGTGCGGCCAAACACAGAGCCCTCTTCAGGACACATGGCAGGTTTCCATGTGTGCATCAAACCCTACACTTACTCCCAGGTAGAGTATGACACCAGTATTAAGAAATGAACATTATTGGGACAGAATTCAGGCTCAACAGTCAGAATATTACCCCTGATGTCTCAGATGGATTATATGTGTCCTCTCTGTCCTGCGTGTCCAGGGTTCTCATTTGTATCTGGAGCGTGCCGGGGATCTGACGCTGCTGCTGGCAGAGGAGGACCACGCTCAGGGCACAGTGCACTGTTTCAGCCTGGCAGAGGGAGCTCTCTTTGTGGAGGCCGTCCCTCACACAGACATCAGCCGGAGGATCACAGCTTTCCAGTACGAGCTGGTGCCCAGTCAGGGGCCCGGGGCACACATGTACCCATACCTGCAGCCTGGTTTAGGTAAGAGAATGAATGCACCCATTCTGAAGGAGATACAGTCTTGTTTGTGTTGTATCCTTGTGTGTTTTGCAGTTGGCGTTAATTCTGCTGAGCTTTGTCTTGTGACTTTCTGTGTGAACAGTGACACTGAATGTTGTTTTTCTACTTGCCTCGTAAAAGTCTTTGTAAGTTGAAACCAACCCCTACTACAAATTTTCAGACTGATTTTGTGAATTGTAAGTTTAAGTTGTGAAACTGGAGCTTTTGAAAATGAATCCAGTTTCTAAATCCAGTTTTCTAAAAGTTTGCAATCTATCTGTTGTTGGAAAATCATATCTAGAAGGTAAATTATAAGGGAATGGGAGGAACATGATTCAAAAATGGTACTGCATTATAAATGCAGCTGAGCCGCCGATTCTCAAGTGTTGGATCCAGTGTTGGAAAATAACTAAGTACATTCACTCAAGTACAACTTAAAGATTCTTGTTCTTGAGTATTTCCATTTCATTTACCTGACAGCTTAGTTATTAGTTACTTTTCACATTAACATTTTACATACAAAACATATGAACATCTTATTAGATATGACGCGCTGTTAACAGATTAAACTACCCAAAAATATGTGAACTAGTCAAAATTCCCTCCACATTTACCAACTACAACATGAAAGTACCGCTTACATATTAATACATTATTAATAATGACCCAATGATACATTTATATTAGATTGATAGGGGCCATTCTGCATAATGAGTACTTTTACTTTTGATGCTTTAAGTTTATTTCCTTGCTAATACTTTTACACAAGTACAACTTTGAATGCAGGACATTTTTACTGTAATGGAGTACAATGTGGTATTGCTACTTTTACTTAGGTAAATCATTTTAATGCTTCTTCTAGCACTGGTTTAATGAAGCAACTAGCAAATGTTTCCAAAACCGCTCATGTTTGCAACTTCATAATCACCAGAAGAACTAAAAACACTTGAGAAAAATCAAAATATTCTCACATTCTCACAATATTCTCACATTTCTAACATATTAACCGTCTCAAGTCAGTTTCAGTTCTCTTGAAGTTGTTTTCCACACTGTCTGTGTTTGTGTACATCGATTTAATTGGTTTAAAAGGGTCTGTTAAACTCATCAAACCTGACACAGGCCGCCGTCTCTCTGACATAAAGTGAAGGTGGTGAAAGGCCACGTTACTGTTTCACCCCTGTTTCTTTATCTCGCTGCCATGCTCTGACGCTCCGTCCTCCCCCCACTTCCTCACTCCCACACACCCTTGTCTCAGCCAGACTTATGAAAACAAGCAGGCCAATCAAAAGGTCCCGTTAGGGTCAAGCACAAGGGTCAGCCAATCGTCTCTCAACTGTCAATCAAGAACAGACCCCCCCCCTCCACAAAGCAGTGAATTTTGGGTAGCCCACCCGTTTAAAGTGGTAGAGGGGAGGGACGGTAGGTGGAGAGGAAGGCTGGACTTCTTTTCTAATGAGACAGAAGAAAGCCTGTCTGTGTGTCTGTCTGTGTGTCTGGACGTTTTATAGCTGTTTTTATAGCTGACAGGGTCAAGGGGTAATTCTGTGATTACGTCTCCCTCACCTGCTGTTCTCATTCACATACTCTCTTGATGTCTGTCTGGTCTCGTAAGCACTGGGAAACAGACTAAGCATTTAATGTTTTCTTTTTTGTGTCTTTCCTTTTAGTCACCTGTAAACCCTGCTCAGATGAAGAGGTCCTTATGGCTGTGTGTACCAGTGACTTTGGTAAATACACACACACAAACATACACATTAAATGAATACTTTGACATTTTTGGAAATCAGCTTAATCTCTTTCTTTCAGAGATTAAAATGAAAAGAATTGATGCCGCACTCATATCTGTACGATAAATACTGCATAAAGCTGCAGCCACAGTCAGTCAGCTTAGCTTAGAATAATAAGGTAACAAAACCAGCCTTCGTGCAACTACTACTCACTAATTAACACGTTATATTCTGTTTGTGTAATCAGGAAGTCACCGCTTTAAATTTCTGTGCTAATCTAAGCGAACTGGCAGCTGGCTTCTGCTACATATTTAGCATACAGACATGAGAGCTGTATGATCTAAGCAATTTCCCCAAAAGTCAAACATTATTTAGATGCAAGACCGTGTAACTTGTACTGTAACTGTAACTTTACATCCACACAGTGGCAATGACAGGATAATAGCCAGTTTCCCACGTTTCTTTGGAGTCAGTTTCTTTGAATACGTCATCATCGATGATCTGACTGAGCTAAAATAGTAACAGTAAAGTGGAGCTAGAAAGTCAGCAAACTGACTCAGTTACACAACAGTATCTATCTTAAGTTTGCTAACATTAGCCACCGTTAGCTACTGGTCATGCCAGACCAAGTAAGGCTGTAGCACAAAAACCCTTGAGTGTGTTGAATTGAGTAAGGGTTTTATTCTTTATTAATTCAACTTTTGATTTGTAAGAGCCAGGTTGTGTTATGTCCATTTTCAACAGTACACATCATACACTTTAATTTTAGCTATCCTTGATTCATTTGATCTAATCTCCTTCTCTTTATCGGTCCTGTTCCTGTCTCTGTAGCCGGCAGTGGCAGCTTTCGAGATGTGGCATCAGGTACTAACGGCCGCTCCCCGGTTGTGGTGACTCTGAGTCGGCTGTTCCGTCAGAAGAACAGGGTATTTGCCTGGAGTGGAGCCAGAGGGCGGCGTTGGAGTGGACGTATCAATGTTCCTGCACAGTGCGGTGTGCATCCTAGAGGGGATGAGTACCTTTTGACTGGTTCTGTTCATTTTGGAGAAGCCTGGCTTGGCTGTGCGCCCCGCTACAAGGACTTCCTGAAGTTGTACACCAGAGCAGACAGAGCAGGAACAAACCCCTGCCAAATAGACACAGACTGAGAAATCTATTCATCTCTTCTGGGTAAAACAGGGTGGAGTGACTCTCAAAAAGGTCAGCGAGTAAGGCACAAAGAAGAACCGAGAAATAAACAGACTTCTGGCCATCATTAAAGGCTACTTTCTGCAGACTCTTCTCAGTGATGTGCAACTTATTGTTGCCTTGCAGCATAAAAGACAATTGGACAGTTTGAACATTTTAGTAGCCAACATGCTGTCTAAACTAAAATGTCCCCATTTGACTGTATTTGTATGCTGTATGTGTAAATGTGTCTGTGTATGACTGAGGCAGCAAATGAATGAATGATGAGCTTAAATTAATTTTGTTTCTAACTGGTTAAAGTTTTTAATCTCATGACGATACCGCTCGTGTGATCGTTGTTGAAATGAAAGTTTGCTTTGTAAAAAGCTTTCTGTAAAATTTCTTCTGACAGAAGTGTACAGTATGCAGCTCTGTGAGTCTTCGTGTACTAAGTGTGTGTGTGTTTTGCTAATGAGTTCAAATGGTCTATATATTTGCAGAAAATAAAGAGCCATTCTTCAGCTTGTCTTTTTGTTTAATTTAAGATTTTTCTCTGCAGTAGTAGTAGTAGTAGTAGTAGTAGTAGAACTAGTTTTTAGTGTTTGTGAGTGAGCCAGTATGAGCTGTATCTCCTGATATAGGAACACTGCATTATATCTTATTAACAAACCTGTCCCTCTGTGTCACATACTGTATGGCACACTGAGGCTCATTGAGGTTGAGGTGCAGATAATTAGAAACAAATGACAAGTGAAGTTAATAGGACCCAAAAAAAAAACGAAGGACCAAAAGTTACCAGCCTCTCTGTTGGCCCACATGGATGCAGACAAAGAGATATTGTCCACCTAACTACCCACAAGAAAAAACCATTATGAGTGTTCAGTGACCATTAGCTGGCAGTAGAGCAGCAGTGCGTCACTGCTGGCGTAGCTACCCCCGTGGAGCTTTGACGGGCCACTGTTCTGGTTGGCATCCTCCTTGCCTTGCCTGTGTGTGTGTGTGTGTACACAGTATAAGGGTGAGAGTGGTGAGGATGAGTGGGGAGGCATAGCTGCCGTGGTCTCCATGGCGATGATGCTAGTTAGCTAGCTAGTGCTCGGGGGCCCTGGAGAAAAGTGACAATACAAGGGACTTAGCAGCAGCCGCAGCTCAGCAGCCGCACTGCATTAATGAGATTTTTCACACTTATTATACACACACTCCCAGCTAGCACCATAGCAGGAGCGGTCGAGTGGTGTGTGCTCATTGTGCGCACATGCAGGCCATTTCCATGAGCGTGTGTGTTTGACAACAAAATTAGGAGCGGCCCGTGATTGTTTACGAGCAGTCACATACAAACACGTGATGTTTTCTCTCTCAATCAATGTCTCTATCAAACTCTGGTCCCCATTCACAAACACACACATAAACACGGAAGCAAACAAACAAACAAACAAAGACTAAATTATAGAGCTAGACTCCAGGCTGTTATTACAAACCATTATGCTCTTTTATTATTTTGAATTGCTTCATCTACAGAGTAATGTTGCTTGGAAAAATCTTTCCCCTCCTTCTGTGTGTCTGAGTTTTCTTTTCTAAGTGCTAGTAAGAGAGACGTGCAGTGACAACGTTTCAAAAACTGTAAATCTCTCATGGTCAAACATAAAATTTAACATTCCACAAATATAAAGATTGATGAAGAAAAAAAGAGAAGGAAAATGCACAACAATGCCATAATCTGTCCTAGATTTGTCCTTCATCTCAGGATAAATTCTAATTCCAAACTACATTTGGGCTGCCAACAAAACCGCCTGGTAAAACCTAAAATTCAGCGATTATGTGGTCAAATAACATTTTAGTGTTACTTCAAAAAGAAAGATCAAGCAGCAGTTTGTGTCTCTGCTAAGTAAATTCAACTCAATGTGTTAACTTCCGATAGAAAACCTGTTTTCTTTCCTCTTCATTTTCTCTGTTATCTATAATTATTTTGCACAAGTCTTGTCTTGTTTTATGAGTTGTTATTTCATGCTTGCTGTTTCCTACTGCTTGTATTTGCTATTAATATCTCACATTGTCTGTTGTTGTGAAATACTTTGAAAAGTGCAAATGAAGTCAAGAAATGAGAAAAAAAGCTTGTAAAATGCATATGTTCTGCAACTAGAGGGACGTGCTCAAGTTGCCTGTGAACAGTAAAATAAAGACAAAAAAGTTTGATGGTGACCAAAATGTAGTCTGGTTCACCAAAGTGGTGAACCAAGTTGTTATTATTTAAGAATTCTGTCACTTGAAATAACAAATAACAGTACATTTAAATGATCCTGGACTGCGGTCTGTTTGGCTCGTGCTGTTATGGTTGCGGAATTGTCTGAGTTTTCAGTGGTGAGGGAAAGAGATGTCAAAGAATCTGTTTCTTTACTGTTAGCAAGATAACTAAATCTTACATTATGTTTACATAAAATCATACAAACATCCCCTCCAGACTATATGTATTAAGATGCATATACACAGTCTGCTTTGAAAAATAATGTACATCTGTTAAGGTTTTCTTTCAGCAAAAATAAAACTTGTAAAAACATGAAAAATGATTTCCACATTAAAAACATTAAAAAGTAATCTACTCCTTCTAACTCATTAAAAGTCAATTCTCAGTGAATATGCACTGGTGGCTATATCACACATATATAAATTGCAGACTGGACCAGGATTGAGTATTGAGATGTCACAAATCCAGCTCATAGTCCTGTTTTGAAATCTTTGATTATTTTCAATGAGCACAGAGAAACTTTCCACTTTCAGCAGATGATGTGAGAACCTCCTTTAAACTCTGCACATACATCATTGTGAAGCTCAAACATCCAACTGTATGAACAAGAAGAAAAACTGATTTTTGAGAGAATGGGGGACAGAATCTCCACAAACCAGCAGCAGAGTCTTTTGATAGTGTGAGGATCTCAAAGTTCTGCTTAACTCCTGCTATTATGTTTGGCATTACATCTAAAATAATCAAAACTATAATGTTATATATCGATGCTGTTACAGAATTTCTTTGACATGAAAGCACCTTTTCTGAATGACAATATGCCCATCATTCATTATGATGTGAAAACTGAAGATCTTCCTTTGTAGAATATCAGGGGCGCCCACAGATAAAGTAAATGTAAATGCTTGTGTTTCTTCTGATTTATGTTAAAATTACCTACAGTGGGTGCTGTAAGTAGAGAAGCAGAGTCTATATGTGATGCCCGACCGTGCCTGACAGAAGACGAGGAGAAACACACCGGGAGGAAAAACAATTGTGTGCAAAGGAAATGAGAATCTCATTCTACAAAGGAAGTGTTCCTCTGCTGCCTGGCTGCTGGCTCACAGATTAAAGCAGCTGTCAATTGATCAAATATTTGCATTTTCCTTCCCTTTTTTTATTGTGTGCATTGGCAAGTGTGTGTTCACGCGCACACACAGAAAAGGACGCCTACACAGTTTGTACACACCTACATTCACGTGCACACAGTGAAACACTCAGCTCCATCCATTTTCATCGGGGGGGTCTCTCTTGATGCTTAGGGTGGGGGCTTTTTCAGCACTGACGGCACATGCGACCTCAAGGGTAGCAAAGGGCAGGGGCCGGAGTGCAAAGGGCGTGCCCTTGTCGCCGTGGTAACATCATTCTCAGGGGGAACATTCCCACCCGTGTGAGGTTACTAAATCCAGCCATTGATGCGTTGTCACTTGTGAAGTTACATTTTCAAAAATGTCATTCCTGCTAAATGCAATGTGAATACTCAACGCACACCCTCTGTATGCCTGATTCTCTGAGTCATTTTGTATCCAGCCCCCTCAAGTTTATAATGATGTTCCATTAGTGCATGTTGTGAGGTCTATTCTGGATATCCATTGTCCATTTTCTGTTTAGTCTTTAGCCTAACTGATGTGGTGCTGTGAAGCCAATTACATTTCCACTTTACAGACAAGTTTTAAACTAAGTAACTAACCGAAAGGAAAATGTCTGTTTTGTAAAAGAAACTAAACATGAAGTTTATATTTCAGTCCTGAACATTAACTCTATTGTCGTCATTGTGGCGAACAGCTGGACCATTGAAGGTCAGTGAACATGAGCTCAAATGTAAATAACCTCCTATGAACCGTCAGAAATTTACATTAGTAGGTATAATTTGTTTGGACTCAAATTACTTCCTTCAGTGATCGTCTGGCTAAACAGGCAAAAATATTTGTTTTTAAAACCACCATGTAGTTTATTACATAAAATAATGTTCAGTCTCCCCGAATGTTTGAGGGTTTCAACAAAAAAAAATAAATGAAAAGTTATGTAATAGACACGCAACTGCCTCTCCAGACAGCCATTCTGTAGTGTTACAGAAAAAGGAATAGTATTGAAGTGGTTTTTTTATCCTTGTTCATTACTAATTAGCCAGCCAAGAAACATTTAACTGGTGTGTAAACACAGAGGCTTAAATGGAAAAAAAAAAGATGTTGATTTGAATCCAAAGCGAGTTTGCTGATTTCATATTTGTGGGCACCAACTGCCACAGAGTTTATGTAAACAAACAAAGAGATAATTTAGTCATCATATGGTATCATCAGTTATGAGTGAAATTACAGATAGAACTCTATCCTCGCCAGCTTTTGTGTGTACGTACTAAAACTGTGGAAACGGAAATGATTGTGTTTTTAAAAAAAAAAAAAAAAAATGTTTTCACAAGATGCAGTATTGCAACAGTTGAAAAGTTATTAGATTCTGATGTTAAAATACAAAACCGACCATTTGTTGTTACTGACAGTGAAATCTCAAGAGGATATCACATTATGCACTGAGTATCTTAATGATTTTGCAACATATCGATTTCAAAAATCACATGGTAATGCTAATGGCTGTGTTTTTACTATAGCCCCTTTGTGTGTGCTTGTGTGTGCAGTTTGTATGTGTGCGTGCCAGCAGAGTGTACGTGTTTACAGCCCATGTAAGTGTTTGTGTGCCTGCGTATGCATGTCTCACCTCGTCCTCACCCTGCTCCACTGAGAGATGAACAGATGGACACAGTGGGTGGGGGGGGAGGACGGAGTCTAGCGAGGCGCAGAGAAACAAAAGGAAGCAGGAAGGCCTTTTCCATCTCGTCTCCTTCCACAGTAACACAAGACACCAAGCTGTGCCGCAGACGTGTCAGACTAACAGGTGATACAAAGGTGTCTTCGAGGGAGCATTTGGGTGACAGTGGGACGATGCAGATAGCAACCTGGTGGACGAAGGTGACATTGTGTTAGAGAAATGACATTGGAAAGGCGTACAGGTGGCACTAATGTGATTTGCAAGGTGCTTACAGGTGACACTACAAGGAGGAAAGAAAGGTATAAATAAGGGAACTATAGCTGCAAAACTGACATGTTTACATTACAGCGCATGCTTCGTTTATGAGTTATTGAATTTACTTGTCATGCACGCATTGCTGTGTTGCCCTTTACGCTCCGGTTTTGCAGAATCTAGGAGTCACTTTCTAGAAAAAAAAAAAAAACGCAGCTCTGGCTTGAA